GATTAGACTAGAAATAATATCTTATAGAGGTGGCTGCCATTTGTTTAATATGCCTTTTCGGGCTAAACAAATATTGTTTTTTGTTAGTCGCCTTAAGATTTAATAAGAGATAAAAATTAATAGGTTCCCGTAATGGGAAATATGCATACATAAGTAGTTTTCCAGTAATAATGTGATTCCTGAACTTTTAAGACAGTTAAAGTTGTGGTATTGCACTAGGAATTAACTTCTCTTATTATTACTGATATCTCTCTAAGCTCCTTTTATTCCTTTCCATTTTAACCGATTAATTAAATGTACTTATCTCGCTCTTTCATACCTGATACACTAGCGCCCTGCCTCTTATATATACAGCCTTTCTGTGCGATTCTCATGGCTTACTTAAGGAGTAAAAAGTTTGTGTTAATGACATTTTGCGAACGCATATAAGTTAACACGAATATGTATTAGGATATTTTCTCCTTTAAAGAAAATATCTTAGTCAAGCACATACGCTTTTAAGCATCTGAGTACACAATAAGTAACCAAATCTTGTGAGCTCGGGCATGTGGCAGTGGCTTTTATGGTTTTAATTAAAATTTTAATTACGCATTTTTCCGGTCAACTCCTGTGACTTTTGAGCCCGAGGAAAGCAACAAACAGCAGCACATCTGGCGAGCCTATAACAAGCCAACACAATCTCAAAGCTCTAAAGATGTGACAGAAATCTCAGTAATCGGTGGTTAGCGAGGCGAATCGAAGCTATCCGCATTGCTTTAATGTTTACGACAGTCTCCGCAATCGTTTTGAATTTAATTTGCTGCTATTTTTGGGAAATCTAATTAATTTGAAAAAATGTATGTTAGCGATGGCCCGACAGTGACATCTACAAGTAAACATAACAAGGGGGGATTCAACCTCAAATACGAACAATTGCAGCAATACAAATTATTTAATTTGCTCCGAGCTGTTGCTTGTGTGCGGAGCACAATGTGTGCTCAGCATGGTCCGCATTGTGTATTGGGAGGGCTGAGCCATTGACCAGCCGCCAGTCATGGTTGGGCAGCCAGTGACCATTCACCGCCCATTGCCCACTCGCCCAGTCGCCCACTCGCCACTTGTCATTCTCGCCCGTCGCGTCGCCGTCATTTAATGTCAGTCGAGTTTTGGCATTCGGATCACGTAGCTTGTGTGCCACCAGCACTTTTTCATTTTCATTCACTTATGCACAGTGCGGCACTGGCCCTAAGAAACATCATCACGCACTCACCAGGCCATAGAGATCCCATCCGAATGGTTGGCTCTTGGACTCTGCTTCTGCTCATGCTTCTGCTTCTGATTTGTATTTGTTGTGGTTGTACTTTGAAGCTGACGCTGACTTAGTGACAAACCGAGCAGCTGACGGACTGGCATTGAAATTGAATCGTGGAAATTTCGTGGGCGTACGTGGCGTATATATATATGTATATACACTGCGAGTTTTATAATGTAATTTGCACTTAATTGGCCAGAAACAAGCTTTGCAATTACGCATCCCACATTCAAATGTGCACACAGTCTTTCAGTCAACGGGTCGTATACGTAATCAATTTGTGTCATTTCTCCGTTTGAGTCTTCAATAATAATACTTATAGAGCATTAGTTTACCTGTTGAAAACTGGATTCTAAAAGACCACCTACCAAATTTGGTATTAAATGAAGCGTTCGTTGGGTAAGCTTTGCTCTGAATATGCTCAGAAAGACAGAGAATTAGAATTTGTTTCTATTTAGTTCAACACTTTTCCATGTTTTGCGTGCATCCACATAAATTTCATCAAGTTCTTGAAAAAAACAAAGTTAAATTTATATCCCATTAGTAGAAAGTTGTAGATTATCTCGTTCTGGTTGTGGCTGTAAGTTACGCAATAACAAAGTTTCACAATATTCTCTGTCTACGCTGGCGTTTTTCAACTTTGGATGTAATGAATTCTAAATTATTAGCCTTTATCATATGTGAATTTGGTGCTGATATTTCTGAGCTTTTAACTGGAGTGAAATACATATTTATGTAAAAATTGTATGTATTAACTCAAAAACAACTCCCGTGATATGGATGATTCCTTTCTTGTTTTCTTCAGCTAAGTACAAAGATCATTATGTGTACAATTTTTAAAATTCCCAAACGGAAATACGGAATAAGCTAAATTCGCTTGAGTTTTTTTAAAAAAGCTGCATTTTTTAATCAAGACTTGTTTTATAACAAACCAAAAGGGAGACGAAATCATGGTGCATTATTCTTTATGGTGTATTCTGCATATTGAATGTACAATGTGTGCATAATTTTGTTCTGATCAAAGAACTAAGGCAAACAGCTGAACCGGGTGCAAAGTTCTTGGACGGATGGGCTGTTGAGTAATCTGCAAGCGCTGCGAAAAAGTTGCGTGAAGCGTTCGCTTTTGTGGCTGGCTTATCGAGCAGGCGAAAGGATAAAGTTTTTACGAAACAGCTAAAAGTGTTTGGGCCAAGCCGCGGACCAAGAGAATGGCCTGGTAACGCTCTTTCAGCCTTTCGCTCGGGTTGCCCTGGTTAACAAAATAGCGTCGGCACATAATTAATTGCACTAAAGAGATTAGTTGCTGTGCATAAGTTTTCGCGGCACAAGAACACAACAGCACAGTTGGCTGAAAAGCAGATCCAGCGCGTAGTCATCAGCCATAGACCCCTGTCCCTGTCCCAGTCCCTGTCCCAGTCAATAGGTGCACACGCAATGCTGTCGCTGACTTACTCCATCTCCTACCTCTGTACTTTAAGCACGCCCGTGCCCTGAGCCAAAGCTAACGACGACGCCGCAGTTTGCACCTGTCGAGCTGGGCGAGCTGCCCACATTCTGCACGCAATCTAATTTAGCTGGAACACAGAAACGTGCCCGGCGTGGAAACAGCAGGCCAAAGTCCAGCCCCCCCTCCCCTTGGCCACACCCGCCTGCTAATATCGTTAAGGAGCTCAGGATACGGAACTGACTGAGTTGTGATATCTTTATATTGAGTGCTGGTCAATACTCCTAATTAAATTGCATAAAGCCAACTAAAATCGCTGCAACTAAGGAGTTAACAACTTTGAACGTTGCTTCCGACTGTAACCGACTGCGCAATACTCTGTTCACAGTGTAAATAACGAATAAATGAGTCGAAGGGGTCTTCTTCGAGTTTAGGGCTGAAACCCCAAGAAAGTGACTTTCGAACTGTGACCTTCGATATCGAACTTTGGAGAAGATTATGAGTAGTTCACAAATTTGGGGACTTTAGCTGTTAAAATGTGGGATATTTAGCCTTTTTTTGTGGCTTGCTCTGGTTTGTTAGATATAAAGAGATATTCTACTTATAAAATTAGCTTTCAGTTGTTTTTAAAGTTGGACAAAAGTCAAATTAAGTACATCGAAGTATATCGAAAGGCTCATCCGCTTAAGCCTAATAAAATAATTTTATACATATAAAATATTTTATAAAACTAGTTTGATTTCAATTAAATTTACTTCAGCGCTCGAAAAAGTTGTTTACCCAGCTTGAAGCAGCTACTCAAGGATTTCAAGTAAATTGATTTTGATGGGCTTCCTTTGTGAATTGAAAAAGAAATATGAAATTTCTTGCCAGTCCATAAAGAAATTGAACAAACAGCCAGGACAGCCAGAACAGCCAGGCATCCCATGATGATTGATCACTACAGGTGCACAGACGCAGACGCTGAGGAAGGGTGGGGAGGGGGGAGGATGGCTGCTGGGTTGTTAGGGGAAACAACTCGAGTCAAGGACCCGGCGGAAGACTGCGAGGCCGCCCAAAAGAAGGCGCTGCTTGTGGGCATGACTGAACTTGGCGTTAGGTGCAAGATGCAAGCAATTATTTTGAGGGTTAGGCAGCGCTGCCAGGCAACGCGCTCAAGGATAATGCACTTAAGCCCCCTAACCTGGTAGGGATTGCGCAAGTAACCGTAACTCAGCTGCTGCTGCTGCTGCTGCTCGCCTTTTGTACCTGCATGCACATGCATACGAGATGCGCGCCCGAATTTGAATTATTCATCATTGTTGCAGTTGCAGTTGCAGCAAAACGAGGGTTGTTTCGCTCGACCCTGCAGCATGCCGTCCTTGAGAGGGTTGGCGGCAACAGGCGGCGGCGGCGTTGCGGCGCTTTGCGGCATCAACTTTGTGCATTTGCCGCATCGCACAAAATCCACATCACATTCAGCTTTGTTGCTGCTGTTGTGTGTTGGTGGCAATTCGAAAGCAATTTCTGCAGCATTAATCATTCCCCTTATCCACACATGACACTCGACCGCCTGACCCTGCCCCCAACAAAAACAAGCAACCACCCACCCACACACACACACACACACATGCAGAGTCGACGAACCTTTTGTCTAATGTTGACAAAACGCATTTTAAGCTCTTCAGAATTGCCTTCTTTTGTTTAGTTAGTTGACTGCTGCCCACTGTGCACACATATGTGGGATGCGCCAATGGAAGCTCTGCTCCGCTCGGATCTGCTCTGAATTTGAATTTGGATTTTCGAATTGGGCTGTTCCTTGTTTTCGGACATGGATTTCGCATTTGACCCTTAATACGAACTGACTCTGGCCATCTTTGTTTAGCAGAGCTCTTAACTACTTTATTGTGTAGCTATTGACTAAATCACTTCAATACGCCAGTTGCGCATTTTACATGTAAAAGCCTGTGCATACACTGAGCGAAAGGGGATAAACTAAATTACAGTTGAATTATTAATGTGCAAATTTTCTGATTAAATAGGAATTAAAAATTTATAACCAATACCCTTTTCTTATTATTATTATTATTTAATTTCCCATATATATTTAAAGACCTACCTATTTATTTTCTAAAAAAAAATTTCTATTCAAACAAATAAAAGTGTAGCTGAAGTAGATATAGATATCAATAACTGATATATATACACAACTTTTTAATAGATATAGTATAACAAAAGTGGAAAATATGATATGGCATCGAATGTTTTTATTTGTACAGCACTCACCAAATATTTTCCACGAGCGAAAGTAAAACTTTGCGCAGTTATTTTTCACTGTTGCTGCAAATGCAGGACAAATTAACACACGGCGAAAACGACAAAAAAAGGAAATGGTCCCGTTGCAACTGCTGCTGTCTCCGCGTGTGTCTGTGTGTGTGTGTGTGTTTGTGCGTCTGTCTCCGCGTCCCTAGCCGTGTCCGTGTCCGTTACCGTGTACGCCACGCCCGCGGCTTTGCTGTGGCACTAAGCAAATGGCTGTGCGAATAAAAACTAAAACTCTGCGCTTGTTTTTGTTGTGTGATTTTCACAGCACACGATTGGGATGAAAGTTTATTCAAGGCAGCCGAGGGTGGGCGAGGGTGGGTGGAACGCTCCCGTTCACCCTTGGATGAAGGCGCAACACGGCGTGTTTAAGTTACAGTTAGCGTACGTTGTTTTTGCCCGAAAACTGTGTGTTTAATGTTGCAGTTTATTTTATTTTTTATTTAACTTTGCACTTGCACCAACAGATATACACATATGTGGATGATAATAATGTTGCAATTATTATTTATATATTTAAAGAGTATATCCTCACTACACTTCCAACAATTTTGCAGAAAAGTTATTGCGCCTTATGCTGATGCAATGTTAATATTTCAACCCCCTGCGCCTTGCGACAGACAGCGATATTTGTTTTTGTTTACTGTTCGTTTTCGGTTTACCGTTACCGCACTCGCGAACGTCTTTCGTCAAACTGGCAAAAAAGTCGCACACTCACCGTAGAATTTCTCAATTGAACTTTGGAAAGTAGAATTGCTGTTTATTACAGCAACAACTGAAAGCGCTTATTTAAAAGCTTTGCTTGAGCACACTCTCAATGCAATCTCTCTCTCTCTCTCTCTCCCTCTCGCTCTCCCTTTCTGTCACTCGCACACCCACACGTTCACGCTGGCTTGCTTGGCCAGAGTTGGAAGCGGCATTGACTGTGCAATAACACAAAGCTGGCACAATAAATGCGACGCAACAGCGCGCCGAGCTTTGGACGACAACCACCCAAAAATGGCCAACGACGCGTGTCGTTGAAAAGCTCAGCGCACCCTGCTCGTTATGCGCATGCGGCGACATGGTTGTTCAGAAGTCGCGCTCAAAGCTTTGCTCGTTCTCTCTCGTACTTTCGCTCCCCTGCACGTGTGGGTGGGTGGTGGTTGCCCAGCGTGGGGTTGCGGTCTGTTTGAGTTGTGTCCGAGTGTGAGTGGATGGTTCTTCTCTACCGCATGTTGTTACTGTTGTTGTTGTTATTGTGTTTGTAATAATGCAGCAGCAGCAGCAGGCGGCGTTTTAGCGGCAGGAATGTGCACTTTGTTCATGTTGTTTGTGCTATGTGTTGTTGTAGCTACTGCAAATTGCCTCGTAGCATTTAAGTCGAATTATGAAACTCGGTGCAAGCAGGCACCGCAGCACCCCTGCGCTCCACAGCAACCCTGCACACAACAGAAGCACCCATGCAAAACGTCAGGAGCGGGAATGCGCCTAAGGGAAAATACCTGTATTTTAATTAATATTGATTGAACTTGTTTGAGCGGGACAGGTGTGTTTTAATTCAATTGCGTTTAATTTATTTGGAAAATTCGTTATGGTCAAATAAAAATATTTACTACAAAATATGGATATAGAGTGTAAACTATGAGCACACCTTTGTTATCCTTTACGATATTTAGCTTTAAGGACAAATCTCCATTCATTTGAGTTGATTGGTAAACTTTATTAGTTATCAGTTACAACTGTTTACAAGGTTTAACAAGTGTTAACAAATTAAAGTCTTTTCCCGAAGTCAAAAAGAGATAATAATACGTGGAAATGGTCTTAAGGTGTTCATAGTTCACGTACATAGTCCAGTTTTTAAATAAAAGTCTCTTTTTACAAAGAAATAATACACGATTCACAACAAAATCACACCTGGACTGGATATGTAAAATTTCTAATGCAGCCAAGTGCGTAATATTGTTGTTCGCACCTGTTGAAATGAGACAGTTTGATTTGCTATTCCAAAAATACCTATTACAAATATAAATAGTTAAAAAATAAAAATAGTTAAAGCACTGCACTACCGATTTTAAACTAAGATTGTATTTTTAACGGATTATAACAAAATTTCAAAAAAAAAAAACTTCGAATTGTTTATATATATAAAAAGAACAGTTGATCCAACTGTAAGGCAAGTGTATATTATTAAAACGGTAGAATAATTAAGTATAATTTTCTCTGAATAACATAAAATTAAACTTTGTAAGAAAACACATCTTCTTTTCATATACAATAGATATTAATAAATAACGAATTGCTGTGATGCAAGCTGAAAGTCGTATGATTCCCGAATTATATCAAGTTTTTTAAGAAATTCCACCCGGCGGTATTCCCAACCGTCATAAATTATAAATACCGTCAACTTACCCCAAACTCGGTATTTTAAGTATTTTAAAATATTTATCGATTGACAAAATATCGTCCAGCCACCACAGTAAAAACAGCTGTCCAGCAAGATAGCGTACAACAATTATCGTCCGGTCACAACAAATTCTTGCAACAAGAAAGGAAACATTCTCTGATACCGAAAGAAGTAACATTTGAGCACTGCAACGCTTAGATTCTGGAAATTAAATAGGTTTCCGTGGCCATTATAAATATGCCTGCATTCGCATTGTGACGACAACAGCAGCAAGGCGCAATAAAATATTGGGATAAGCTAAAAGTCATTGGAACTGCTGCGAGATGTCCACCGAGGAGTACGTGTGGCGCGACCACGTTGTCCGTAAATTGCGTGAGCGAGACCGCAAGGAGTGTGAAACCTTTAAGGAGATCATAGTGCAAAGTGAGAAACATACGTATACATATATGGTGTAGCTAGAGCATGTTCTGACTGCGCCCAGATCTTAATTTACGTCTTATACTTATTAACACCTTTTCTCTTTCCAATCATAGACAACCGGCTTATAGATCATGTTGCGCAGCTCAAATCGGACAACCTGAAATTGTCTGTAGAGAACGAGCAACTGCGAAATGCTGTGTCAACAGGTGGCACCGGCCCTAATGTGGCCATAGCTACGCTGGAGAAGAAGCTGCTGGCGCAACAAGAGGAACTTACGGACCTGCACAAGCGGAAGGGTGAACACTCCCAAATGATTGTCGACTTAAATCTGAAAGTAGAGCAGCAAAAGGAGCTTATTGCCGAAAGGGAGCACAGGTGAGTGAAGCATACCAATCGATGCGTCCATTTAACTTACCCCTGCTGTATTTTCAGTCTCTACGAACAACAAACTGCCAACAATCGTTTACGGGCCGAGGTGCAGCTGCTACACTCTAGTTTGGAAGAACTTAAAAAACTGAATACAACATTGCTCGATGAGCACACGGCGCTACAGCTGGCATTCAGTTCCCTCGAGGATAAGATGCGCAACGTACAGGTCAGTAGGTGTATGGTCATTCCAGGTACGCCTGATTAACGGGTGTCATCGTTGTAGCATTGCTAACAAATTCTATACATTATTTTTTTAAACATTTAAGTATTGTTAGTTTTCAAGGATTGTAACTTTTTCCAAATTATCTCATTTATATTATAAATTGTATGTCATTATTATTGCCTAGTCGCTATTTGAAGAAATTCGGTAAGTAGTTAATATATGTGTGTATATAATAGCAAAGAATATGTGTGTGGATCAAATAGTCAGATATTTTTGAATAGTTATGATAATTATGTACACATCAATCCACATAAAATTTACTGAATTTGAAATGGAGAAACAAGACTAGCCTGTCCGTCTGTCTACAAAGATGTGTATTGATATCTGGATTAATTTTTCATATTAAATCTTATATTTTGTGGGCAATAACTACGTCAGCGGAGAGTCGAATCGACTTACTAAATTATAATAATAATATTTCCATTCAATTTGTTCGTTTGATTTCATTTAAATATAGATTCTATTACCAGGCCATATACAGCTGTAATCCTTGCAATCAATAATATTTAAATATTTGTTAATAAATATTTTGATCTTTTCTGTTGACTTACAGGATGAAAATCGGTACTTGTTGGAAAGATTAATGCGCTATAGGGCCAAAGATGCCGATAAACTGAACGAGGAAAACGAAAGTATCATAAGGTAATCAAATAGTAAAGAATGGTTTTTATTATACATTGTGCACTATATTCATATTTCAATTACCGGATCGTGCTTTTGATATAGTAAATTTATCATTTTTATAGAAATGTTGATAAGTATTGGCCAAAACTTGTGATATTTATAGGTTTGGTTCGCATGGGTCCATACCAAATCGGTTGTCATATTAAGAAGTCAATGCGAATTTTAATTTTATAGGGTTATCTATGAAGTTTTGTATGCAAGAATACAACTTTCTACCAATCAAGAGCTCTTCAAGGGGTCAAAGTTGTCTTCTTAAATGCTTATCAAAAAATTATCATCCAAACATCCAAGACAATCTAGGCTCCCAGCTCTGCATTTTGGGGGACAGTTTTGTATCCAGATATATTTTTTTATATTATTGAATAAACAAACTCAAGATTGATGGCATATTGAAATAACTTAGTAAAACTTCGACAGTTAAATAATTCGCAAGCTTGTTCATTGGATCATTTAATTAATTTAACACATTGCTTTATTGAAGGTAAATAATGCTGATTTGTCTAAACCAGACGGGCATTCTTGAATTTAATGATTTTTTTTTTCTTGTTTTGCTTTTATATGGTTCAACATAAAATATGTAACCGATTTCAAAAATATCTAGAAAAAGACTGCCGTCAATTTTCAGAAAACGTTCGGCAAAACTGAAACGTGACCTGGAAGACGCCGTTCGTGAACCCAATTCGGCAATGAACCAGATAGTTCCTGCGACCGGCAGCACCCCGCTGCATCGTAACTCGAGTCCAGCCCAGTTTGTCGGGACTGCTGTGAGTGACGAGGAAATCGATGACGGCTCTATAAACGGCGCCATGGAAGCTTTGGGTCTCAATGATGAGGAATACATTAGTGCAAGATTCACAGCCGGTGAAATTGGACATGATGTGGGACGGGTCGGCCCGAATATGTCCATGGAAACACTGAAGGCGGCAGGCTATCTGGGCCAGCCAAATCCGACCAAAATATTGATGAAGTTCGAAGCCCACGAGAACGAGTCGCATGCGGTACGCTGGAGTCCGGTAGAGCGCATGGTAGCTACGGGCGGCGCGGATAGAAAAGTCAAACTATGGGATATCGGCAAAAGTAATTATTGTGCTGCAGCTGCTTAGGTGTTTTAATTATAAACTGTATACAATTTCAATTAGGTTCTACGGAGCCACGCGCTGTGCTTAGTGGGAGCAGTGCCGGCATCAACTCTGTCGATTTTGACTCGACCGGCGCTTACATTCTGGGTACATCGAACGATTATGGCGCTCGCGTATGGACGGTAATGGATAACCGGTTAAGGGTGAGTGGTAGTTAGATGTAAATGTGAATCATTGAATATAATTAAAACAAAAACGGAAAAACAAAAAACTATTTAAACAAGCCATAAACTATTTAAGGCATGCCTATGAGTAATTGACTTTGCCGACTAATAATGTGCCCGTTCTTATCTTTAACCAAATACAACTGGAAAAGGCTACGATATACAAAACTACAATCTAATCAAATTCATCTAATGTATATATCTTAATATATACTGAAGAGTAGCTATTATATTGAGAACTTCGTAGAGCTTTGTTTGATCGAAAAATACCTAAAAACTTGTTGATACAATTATCAGCAAGTGCATATCAAACTTTTCCAGCTTTTTATTGCAATACTTGTTTACTTGTTCGCCCTTTAACTAATATTCAAATCAAGTGATAGTGCTCTAAGCTAGTGGGCCCGACTAGGACACACCCTGTTAAAATTCAATACATTCGATACATTTCTATAATATTTCTCTCGTAGAATGGGAAGCTTTTTGTATGAGTATTAAAGGTGGATTTATTTAATTTTATTTAACTTATTATATACGAATTTTATTAAAACAGTTATTAAACAAATCAGAAAAATTGACAAGTGTACTAGAAAACAGTCATCTATTTTTCCAAAATTAATAAATTAATATCGTTATTATTGCTACTATTAACTACTGTTATATTTATGTTTTTTGCAAAATTTTACACTAAGCAAATTGTTAAATTTCGAAATATCACTTGTTTATATTTTTAATTTGTTCACTTAAATTAAGCTACGCGTTCCTACGATTTCATATCGAAAATATTGCATCATGTTGCACCGACTCCAGGATTTCTCACAATTCAAAAAGGGGCCCCAATTACATACTAACTACCGCAGTTCGGGCTCCCAAGCTGGGGCCCGGCTGCCAAAGTGGGTATATCATCGAGTCCGCTCGCTGGGTGGGGGTTATCAGATTATTTATCAAATGTGATATTGTTGCAGCCATTGCCCCGGTACTTTGTTGCCGCATTCAGAAAGTGATTAACATATGGCTGGTGGACTTGTCGTCGCCGGTATAAAAATGACCAAATGGCAATAACAATGAACTGGGCCACAAAAAACACGGTGGCAGCAACAATAAAGCCTGTAAAAAAAACACATATAAATCAATAAATAGCTTTAATCTAATATTCCTTTATACGTACCGATGCCATCAAAGCATAAGCCAGGCACTGCGTCATTGACAAAGAGCACATTGTCATAATTATCGTAGTCCCTGACCCGATTTGTCTGCTGCTCCGATTGCTGCTTCTTAGCGAAGCCAAATTTATCGGTTATCTGAATCGATTGCACCAGAAGCAAATCCTCCTGGCTGGGCTTGTTCTTGCCCATGCCAGATTTGGCCTCGCGACTTGTGCGCCACAACTGATGCTGCTGATGACCCACGACATTTGCTATAAGTGTACAAATTGGAACTCTTAAGACTTGATTGCTTTTGAGGATACATAGGGGATATAGGGACAGGAAAGTTTGAATATAAATTTAAAACATATATTCTCGTTTACCATACGAAGAGCGTGTTTATAAATATCGATTTGGAGACAGTTTTTAATATATAATATGATAAGTACGTACATTCTGCAAAGGTCTCGCGCCTCCGCCGGCGTCCATAAGATACTTGTGTCCTAAACTCCGCCGTAATATCGTCCTGTTCGCATTGCACCGGCTCACAGCTGGGCATACAGGGCGTTACTAGAGCACGGAACTGTACGACGTCACTCGATGGGAACTTGAAGGCATCGAAATTCGAAAATAGAATCTTGCCCGACAAAGCGCTTTTGTAGATAGGCCCCATGATTAGGTGATCTGTGGGACAGCCTTGTGAGTCTATGAGCGTTATCTCTGCGTTATCAGCGCCATCCATCGCCACGAGTTCACGTACGAATATTTCATAGGGGCTCTGTGGGTCGGCTATTTCAAAGTTGAGAGCTAGCTGATCGCCCACCTCTGCGGAGCGCATCATATCGGAACCGTCTCTCGAAGTGATTCTCATTAATACATTGGGCGAATCGACGATAACCTCCTCGGAGAGCGCTGTCTCCACATCGCCCTTCACGCCCAGGTCAACATCATTTGTCACCGACTTGTTGGTCAGATCATATTGACAGGTAACTGCCAGGCCGAGATCTGAAGACGTGACTATGGTGTCGTGGTGCTGAATGACCACATCGTTCATGTAGCGACCCGAACCACTTTGACGCACATTGCACTCGAGATTCTGGTAGCCCATGCGTATCTCAAAGTCCAACGAACCGCTCACGTCCACGGCACAAGATTTGGGCGCGCCCTTGGCGTAGACCTTGCCATCGAAGAGCTTCGATGTGCGTATGCGAGCGACCATGTCTCCGGCGCCGCATTCGATGGTCACATTATAGCAGGATGACAGCTCATAGGTAGACGCCTCAGGCACCTCCAAATAGGGATCTTGCACGTCCGAAAGCGTTGCCCGACTGTGGTGCGAGAGTCGACAGACCATGTCGCCGGTGTCCCCGTAATCATACGAATGGCATCTGGAAAGTCAGGAGTTTTGATAAATACCTTTAGTAAATTATTCCAATTAAGCTTTGATTGTCTTCTTACCTGTATGGCGAATTGAGACACAGGTCGCGGCACTCGTCAACGCTGCCAACATCTTGATATACCGAGTCCACAGTTTTCAGAATTCTGCCCGGCAAGCGCTTGAATTCACAGAGTTTATTTGGTTCCTCCGCACAATTGTTTTCCAAATATTCTGTGCCGACATGCGCCTGGAAGGAGTTCGAACCCGCCAACGTAAAGCGGTCCATTTCGGCCAGCTCACAAGTATTTGAATCGCGATAATAGTTTGCCGACCTGGAATAAATATTTTGCTAGATATATATTTTTCTTGCCACAATAAAAACACGAACTAAATTCTCTACTCTGCCCCGTTTCTCCAGCTAGATCAGAGAGTATCTAATAATTTAACTACTCGCAATAAAAACGCTCTTAATTTGAATCACCTGCATATGAATTCAGTTTCTCCGAGACACAGCTCGAGGCAATCACGACGAGAGGTGACCGAAATGACCCGTTTTGCATGTCCATCCAGTCTGTAGTTTTGGACGCGATCAATGCACCAAGCTCTGGCACACGGGCGCACTCCCAAGCAGGTTTTTTGTGCATATATCGTAAAAACTGGAAATTGTGATTTTGTCAGGGCACCTAAAAGAATGGAACCATTAATGAACCCCATTAAACTTAACCGATTTAAGAGTTAAACATATGTTAAGTGTCACTTTTTGACCTCAACTTACCTGGCAAAATATCAGCATTAGATGAAAATAGAACACAAAGTCCTGTCTCATAGTTGACGGCCTGACATGTTTCATTGCTCTGACAAGATTCCAAACAGTCTGTGAGCATCAAGGTGCCGGGTAATGAGTCCAGCAGTCTTCCCGGCGCTGAGAAAACATAACTGTAAATGACATTAAATTACAATGATAATAAGTCATAATGAATAAATCATATATGTTGCCCTAAGATCGTGAACACTTGAGAAAAGTAGCTGTTATTTTACAGAAGAAACAGCTAACTTCGGCTAACCGAAGACTAAATACGCTTTGTACAAAAACTTTATAGGCAATCAATTGTTCCTTTATAATAAAGTTGTACGATTTGGATGGGACTTTATCGATTTAAGTGTAGATTCTGATGAGGAATATATAGCATATAGTTATAAGCTGTAAAACTTTTTATATAACATGGGCCAAGAATAACCTTCGGCTTAGACATTTCTACATCCATACACTCGCCTGGGAGTCGAACCAGCAACCTTCTTGTTCATGGTTCATTGTATTGGGACAGCTGATCTACCGAGAACTGCAAATAATAACTTCATAACGATTTGGATGAGGCTATATTGACTCAATTGTGGACAAACATTGGCCAAGAATAACCTTTGTCTGGGATTCGAACCAGCAACCTTCTTGCTCACTTGCCCAAATGGTTCTTTGGGACAACTGATCTACCGTGAACTGCAAATAATATCTTCATAACCTAATCTAATAGATTGTATACTTAAGATCTCCAGTTAGATAATCTTTAAGAAATCTTACCCCGTGATAATTTCAAAGCCCAGCAAATCTGGGTCACACTCCTCAACCGAATTGTGATAGTTTGACTGGGTGGCTGGCAAGATGCGCTCAAAGACAATTTCCTCAGCGTTGGGCTGACGGGTCTGTTCGCTGGATAAGGGCATTTGCGCGTCTGCCTGGCTGGCATCTATCGGTAGAAAATGACCAATGTCATGGTTAATCGCTGCATTATCGGGCCGAGGTAGCGGCAGCTACTGTATTGCAGGTATTTACCGTCAACCAATTTGGTCTTTGTTGCCGCAGCCCCTCGCTGCCCCGTGCCATTGGCCACGTACAATGATTGATCATTCTTCTGGCTGGGATCAGCTGCCTTGCTGTCGGTGCTCTTTGTTTTGTCACTTTCAGGCATTGATGCTGCTTGTGCTGGTGGTGCCAGATGAATGACGACTGGTACCAGGTCCGCCAAATTGTCCCTGCCTCCAGCTGGCTGCAGCGTTGCGGCCGCATCTCCTGGCTTTGGGCCCAGGCAGGCGAGGAGGAACAGCAGGAGGAGGAGTGAGTGCGTTGGCCTCATGCTGCGTAATGGTCTTATGCTGCTTTTCATTGGAAATATTTTCCTCGATATGCGTGGACTGTGCACGTTGTCTATTTTTGAGCTCCTCGTACCCGGCACGCTGGAAAACGTTAAGAAAAACAATAGCAAAGGTATTAATTTAATTATGTTTTCGTGCCAGCGTCTCGAGGTGTCGTTTAGTCCGTTCAATTGCTCTGGCGCCCTGCCAGGGGAGATACCATTATGCCCATCTAATTGTATGTAAGTAGTTTTTGTTAATAAGCCTAATAGGCTTATTATGGTCTAATGACCTTTGCGTTTATCTATCTATCTATCAGACAGCCCAGAGGCTCTCCCCCCTCTCTCTCTCTCTCTCATACAATAAAATCTTTAGAAAAACAATCTTTGTTATTTTAAATTAGAGTTGGGCATGCCCAAAGGCAACGCCTAGCCTTTTCATAGCTTAAGTACTATTAATAGTTAACAAGTTAGACACCCTGAATCGACTTAAAAGCATTCTGGCTTTGTTCTATCCACACATTCATACACATTTATGCACGAATGCGCGCCGCAAGCTGTGCACCTTATGCAGAGTCTGTGCTTCTTCTTCTCTTTGCCGCACTCTATGTATGGGAAGTGCATTCTTGGTTAACTTCGGTCTTTATAGTCCGATCCTTATGACGCTTTATGGGTTTAAATATAGCATGCAGAAGTGTGTATATACCAAAGTGCAAGGCTATAACTTAACAAATGAGGTTTCTTCCATATCTAGAGGAATTGAGGCGAGGTACCCTTAAAGTAAAACATTCTTAATCTGTATTTTCATTACGAGAACTAAAAATTTCGGGTTATCTAGCTCTTTAGATTTTGTAGATATGCTTAAAAACCCATTTCTCAAATCGATATTATGATAATGATAGGATATATGAAAGAAAAGAGAATAGTTTATCGCATATTAATTCTCCTGTTTCTAAAAGATAGATTTAAGAATATGACTAAATCGATATAAACTTTTTTGCCAAGTTATATTGTGCCCAAAGTACCTTATAGGTTCGGAAATGCAAGACCTCAACTAGCTCACCTTCTACTCGAACAACTGCCCTTTGTCGTTTTCTATAATGTTTTCTTAGTAAGAAATGCTTTTATATTGATTTAAGTCCAGCCCATTGTTAACTTGGCAAACAATCCCGATGATCGAGAGACGCTACAGTTAAGAAGAAGAAGAAGAAAACACAGTCAACTAACGAGGCTACTGAACTCTTTAGTTGACATCTATGGAATGACACAAACATCTTGAATGCAACATTGACGAGTGACATCTGCTGATTGACAGTTTTCGACGTAGGCCAACTTGAGGATTATAGTATAAGTTTTAATATGTGAGCAGCACAACAGAAGGAACTTTAAGTTGGTGTAGAATGAATAAATAGGATAATAGAGTATAGGTATATATTCTTGATCAGCAAGATCAGGTGAGGAGATCTACTGTTTGTCCATCAGTCTGTCGGTCTGTATGATCACGGTGATCGCAGGGTCTATAGGAGTTTGTCTTTAGATCTATTACAAAATCGATAACTATCGGTTTATAGTATATAGCGAAACCTAACAGAACCAAGACACCCAATTTGATAACTAGACTCTCGTATGGCTTATACAATTCATAATATTAACGTTTTCAGCAATTTGTGGGAGTGCAAGTGGGCGTGACGAAACGATCTTCAAGGGCGGCAGACGGACATTGCACAAAGCTAAAAAGAAAACTCTCAAAGAATAAATATTTGAATACGTTCCTCCCTCTGTCGCAGTCAAAATGGAAATTATGGATTTAGCTGCATGTCGTAAACATGAGATGAAAGCAGACAAGTTTAATATGTTAGTGGGTTTTTGTTACCGCCGCATTTCCCATGCGCGATATTAGCATTTTAATTTATTTGCGTTTCCACACATGACCCTATGTAAATTAGTTACAGGTTCGTAAACAAAGGTAACAGACATTTCTGCATTATAACCCATTTTCAGACAAGTCGAGAAACGAGGTGTTATTATCTGGGATATATTGTTAAGAGTAATCGGTTTTGAGAGAGTTATCTTGTAGTAGAGATCGGTTGTGAATTAAAGATACATAAATATACGGACAGATCGATTAGTCTGCTGATGCTGATCATGCATATATATATTCTAGATGAAGGTTCTTTTAGCTGCAGATGTAGGAGTATAAAAAGTGAAGAAATCTTTAGCTAAATCAAGTTCTGGCAACTTGCTTAAAGCACTTGCTATTTATAGCTAACTCTACTTACATTTGCAGTAGAAATTTGGAGAAAATTGTTTTTGCGGATTATTCTCGAGATATATAGAACCAGATTGATTGGGCGCAGGCGTCCTCCTTTGCTATGCAAGTGCACATTGCGAGCAAATCAAATAAATTGTTAAATATGACAACAGGCTGAGAACCCGCATTGACTTGGCCTAAATAGCATCAAGGCAACTTAGGCCTGGCCAACAGCAGCAACCGCAGCAGCAGCAGCAGCGGCAGCATTTGGTGCTACACATTGCGAGCATGTGACTAAACATATAAGTACGATTTCTTCCTACTTTTTCTATGCATCTATCTGCAGTAACTGCTGCTGCTGCTGCGGCGGCTGCTGCACCACCTTTTCTAACTGGTATTTCTGGATTGACATTTAAACGGTTCTTTTTGCGCACATCTTGAGATAGTCCCGCTGTCCGCGGGCATTGAAATGAGCACATTGACTTAAGCTCTGCCTCCTCCTCCTTATCATGCCGCGATTCCCGCGACAACTTGCTTCCACATCTCGGCTGAATTATTGCTATTGAATTAATGACAACCGCGAAGATCACTCAAACGGTTTCCAATACCAACAACAGCGACAACATTTTGTTCAGCTGGTTATTTAATTGCCCAAAACGAAAAACATACCCGATTGCATTTTCTGCCGCCGCGACCCAATTCCTTAATAAACCTTTTCTCAGCCACAAAAACTGTGCTCATTATCCGCCGGCATTTAAATGGGCCTTTTCGGGCAGACATAACCCAGTTTACTAACAGCCTAATATATTGCAATGAATTATATATTACATGGAAGGATTTCAAGTTCATTTTAATATCAAGGCTGCAAAACGATAAGAATCTGGAATTCTATTTAAGTTTTTACTAAGTACAAACCAAACCTTAAATAAAAAAAAAAAAAAAAAAAATTTTAATCAAAACAAGTTTTTGTTTTCATTTACTTAGTTTAAGTTTAAAAAATGTTTGTGTAAGTTCTAGTCCCAATAAATTGGCTTCCATTTATTGGATTTAACTAACCATATTTGGTAGATGCCAATTTTGGGTAGAGCTCGAAATCTAGCCCGCAATTTCCATATGAAAATATGTATAAATATGCAATATTTTCATTAGAACGGGCATTTCTAAGTAAAATATTAATTTGTTTCATAGAAATTTTTAAAATATAAGCTTAAACGAGGTTAAATCTAAAATCAAGGCTTAAGCAAATAGTTGCACGAACCGAATTTCAAGGCAAACCGAAACACGAGCAATTTTTTTGGAGCCCCGATTAATATAGATACATAACTACACTAAAATTCATTAATCCATAAACAAATAATATTCCCTGCTGGTTTTGGCAAACTTTCCATTTTTAAATCTTTAAAAAAGATCTCAATTACATTCCTTAAAAGAATCTACATTTCGGGACTCTTGCTTCTGATATCCACTTCCTAATTTATGAATAGCATATGCATTTTTAAAATTAAGTAATTAAATAGAAAATAGTATACTAGTTCGTCTCCTATGCCCCTCCCACGTCAGAAGAGACTTAAAGCTTGTAATATATGCTCAAGTCTCAAATATATGCGCTTCAGAGAAAGTGCTTAAATTTGGGGTCACGGATAAATAGCGAATCGAATCTGCAGTAACATAACTGCGAAGGTCAGTTGCAAAACGAGGAACAAAAAAAGCATTTCCAATTTCGAAAATTAAAAGTGTAAAACCTTGCCACAATTTTATTGGCCCTGTTTATGCTGTCGCATAGTGCGACCTTCACGAAAGATCAAGCGAAACTTCCGCCTCCGCAAATGGCAAATAAACAGCTCAATAAACCAAAAAGACATTTTTCCACCTGTTATTCGCACTTGTTGCACCTGACTGCAACTTCCGCTGACTGCCAGAAATAATCCCTTTTAACTATTTTGTGTGTTAGGGCACTTAATTGAAACGTTCTGAAATGCTTTTAAGACCAAGAGCAGCTTTTTAATTTAAAATTTAATTAATTGTTCATAATTTTTAGGCACAACCTACCTTTGCGACACTAAGAACCTTTCTGTCTCATACATGATTTATATATAGTATTTTTTTAGTTTTTACTGAATTTAGCTGACACCGACGCACAACACTTTAAATCATATTAGTTTAAGTAAGAAGTTCGGGTACTGATCCACCTCTTGCACAATTGGAGGACGTACTTGATGACTGAAAGGTTGCCGCAGAACTAAAGACATTTGACCAATGTTATGTTCTTATATTTATAAGTTAAGAGGCCTTTCCGCGCTGCACTTAAAGACAGCCAACGGGCCAACAGTTGCATGCTCATTCGGCATTCCATTCAAGATTGAAGAACCTGGCACTAAACTTAGTTTGAATGTGTGAAAATGTAAGAGAGAGAGTCTATGCTTAAATTCTGACAATACGTCAACCTGTGCCAACTTCTAATCCGAAGTCTCCACGGCAAGAGTGAGAGAGAGAGTAAGAGAGAGCGCAGAGAGAAACGCAACTATTAAACCTGTTGTCTTATTCTGGTTAACTTCCAGCTCCAAGTCTACAGAGCGTGCATTGACCGTTCAGCTTCAGTTGCCGGGTTGATAACATTCCCCTTTATGCTCTTTCGGAGCCCGGTTAAGAGCAGGAGCTGCGCATCACTTGCTATTGCCAAGAAAAACTTGGTCAGGGACATGAACAGGCTATTCTGGTTACCAATACCCACAAAAATTTGCATTGCCATATA